ATATATATGTTAAGCGCTGCGTACATTGACAGCACTATATAAGTACGTAAGTAGTCTACCTGCACTGTTCCCCTATAAAACAAATAATTTGTTTTGCATCCGGGAAAGTCAATGTGACTCAACTGCACCAAAAATGCAAAACGTAAGGGTGAGGGGGAGTGCAACAGCCATTTTATTCATCAATCATTTATTTTTTATAAAACAGCTATATTGGATGAATATTTTGTTATTAGAAGTCTTGCTGTGTAACAGCTGCATTTCTTGTGTTAGGATGCCATTCACACCAACAGTTGGGAAGATTGCTGCGTTTTGATGCACGGAACTATTGGAAGCAACACGCCTGTGTGGACGACTATCAGCATCTCAGCAAGAAATTGTATTATATGTCCCGGGCAGAGCAATACTTTGGAAACTGTTAATTCTGATTTTGTTTTAGTGATAGTCTTGACTGAAAATGCCATTTCAGTTTTAGTTACATTTTAGTCATTTAAAATCTCCAGTACATTTTATTCAACTAACATCTAACGGGTTTAGTGAAATTGAACTGCACTCTTTGGGCATTTATCTAGAATTTCCTAACTCCTAGAATAAAAATCCATTATATTAAGGTTTGAAAATGCACTGCAGACAGATTTAGCCCCAATATATAACCAGTGTTGCTTTTAACAACAATTTTTGATTTAGTTTTAGTCAGGACAATGAGTCATTGCATGTGGTATCACAATGACGCACAACTCCCGACTCCGCCCACATAGCTTTCCTCGGTGGCCATCTTTTTTTGCAGTCAAAATGGATGGGTTTCTTTCAGTACGGAGGTGACCCGTTTATATCTTTGAGATGTAAATACTCCCTATATACTCCTGGAGTAAAACCTAACATGTTATTTACGGTATTGAGGTTTGAACATGCACTACAGACACAGATTTAGTCATTGTGATAGAAATAAATAAATATATATATGTCTAACTACATCCTTGTATATTTATTTCAGGTACTTGTATAGCGCCATCAATATATGCAGCACTTTACATATATATTGTACATTCACATCAGTCCCTAACCCTCAAGGGGTGTACAATCTAAGGTCCCTAACTCACATTCATATACAAGGGCCAATTTAGACAGGATCCAATTAACCTACCAGCATGTCTTTGGAGTGTGGGAGGAAACCGGAGTACCTGGAGGAAACCCACGCAGGGAGAACACGCAAACTCCGGGCAGGTGGTGCTGTGGCTGGGATTCGAACCAACGACCCTAGTACTGCCAGGCGGAAGTGCTAACCATTTAGCCACTATGCTGCCTTATAACATTTTTCAATCCTGCTTCAGCAATCAGAAAGTTACTGAGAAAAAAAAAAATTGCATTTGAAAAACCTCTGTGCAAATACAAAACCCACCAATTTATTCTCTAAAGTCTCTGCTTTACAAAAATATATCATGTTCGAGGGTTCTAAGAAATTTAAGCATAAAAAAAAAAAAATACTGCTTGTTAGGCTGCTTTTACATTGAGGAGCTTTCGAGCCGCTTTTGTGTTAAATAAGCACAAGAAACACAAATGAAAAATACTTCATGTTTTCACACCAGGGCGTCCTGCTTCTATTGTGTCAAAAATCCTACGTGAAGCATTTTTGTTCAGCAAAACACCAAAATCACCTTTTCCAATCAAAATCAATGGGAAAGGTGACATAATATGCACCAAAGAAGCACTTTTGGTGGTTTTAAGTCATAAGTCCTTTAAAAATGCACCAAAATCATGGTAAAAACGCATTTGCATTTTTGTGGCAAATCAGCAGGAAAGCAGCCTTACAGGTAAACCGTGTGACTGACAAGGCCAGGCAGCAGTTAAATCAAGGTAAAAACAAAGTTTATCGTCACACTACAATGAAATTTAGGGTCAGGGTAACCTTAGCACAGGACAGTCTTCAAAAATGTACCCCCAAAAAGGATTAAGCCTGGGTGCACACGGATGTGGGAAACGCTGCAAATCCAGTTCATTTTCCCACACTGCATTGTAATCGCACCATGTTCATACAATCTAGTACAGGTGTCAATGATAAACACCCTGAAACTGAAGGCAATTGCCACAAATCCCATGGGTGCGAACACCGTGATGTAATTCAGGTGTGGATTTAAAAGGGTCCTGCACCTTTCTTGGTGCGGATGTGATTTCAGCAATACATGGCTGAAAATTGCAGACATTTGATTGTGACGTGGTGCGATTCCTCTGCAAATTCCAGTGTGAACCTGAGGTGAAATGTACCAAAACTGGGAAATATCACTAATCCCAAAAAAAGTCAGCTACCCACTTCTAACGTCAAAAGCCGCTGTTGTAAAAACGTCCGGTGTGCAGAAGGACTGTTATCTAGTACTTATTATACGCCTGTATATTTTATAGTTTTTTAAAAAAAAAAAAAAACCTGTATTAGAAGGGCGTAGCTGGTTTATTAATGGAACAAAGATGGCCGCTGAGGAAAGGAATGTGGGAGGGGCCAGGACGATGAGTCATTACATGTGAAACAAACTGACTCACATCCTGGCTTTGCCTACAACTCCTCACGGTGGCCATCTTAGTTGCGCAGTTACAAGGGATGTTTTGGATTTCTCCCAGTACAGAGGTGACCCGTTTACATCTGACCAATGGCTTCTAGAAATGTAAATACCCGCTTTCAATAACAGCTCCGTACTGAAGCAAGTCTACCCTGTTCAATAACAGCTCCGTACTGAAGCAAGGCTACCCTGTTCAATAACAGCTCCGTACTGAAGCAAAGCTACCCTGTTCAATAACAGCTCCGTACTGAGGCAAGTCTACTCTGTTCAATAACAGCTCCGTACTGAAGCAAGTCTACCCTGTTCAATAACAGCTCCGTACTGAAGCAAAGTCTACCCTGTTCAATAACAGCTCCGTACTGAAGCAAAGCTACCCTGTTCAATAACAGCTCCGTACTGAAGCAAAGTACTGTTCAATAACAGCTCCGTACTGAAGCAAACCCTGTCTACCCTCAATAACAGCTCCGTACTGAAGCAAGTCTACCCTGTTCAATAACAGCTCCGTACTGAAGCAAAGCTACCCTGTTCAATAACAGCTCCGTACTGAAGCAAAGCTACCCTGTTCAATAACAGCTCCGTACTGAAGCAAGTCTACTCTGTTCAATAACAGCTCCGTGAACTGAAGCAACTGAAGCGACTCTGTTCAATAACAGCTCCGTACTGAAGCAACTCGACTCTGTTCAATAACAGCTCCGTACTGAAGTAAAACAAATTCAGCCAGCCTTGTACAACCCCTTTCACCCACTAACTGACCTGTCTCCTACAGCCCTGGCCCGCCATTACTAGTATGTTTTCACACCAGAGAATCGCGCTTCAATTGCGGTGTAAAATCCTTACTTATAGCACTTCTTTTCAGAAAAAAAAAAAAAAAAAATCTCTTCCCATCAAAATCAATGGAAAATGCAACAAAAACCCACCTGAGAAGTGCTTCTGGTGCAGTTAGGTCACCTTTCCTTTAACCACTTTGCACCGGAGCCTCCCGGCCCTTTAAGAGTTTCAGAAGCCAGGAGGCAAGCAGGGTTTTAGGGTCATGTGACCGCCGTGATTCACTATCACATGATTGGAAAAGGTCCAGATCGAAAGGGGAGATAGGGACCTACCAGTAAGTCACGGTCATAGGTGCTGGGAGAGTGCAGTCAGCACATATGTATTTTCTAATCGCACGCAAGCATGCGGACATTTGGCGTCAAGGCCCAGACGCCACATATATACGCATGCTCCGTGTCAGGGGGTTAAAAAACCACCAAAAGTATAAAAAATTCAGCAAAAACACATTGTATACATTAGAAGGGAGCAGTACTAGGGTTGCCTCTGAGTACTCCGGTTTCCTCCCACACTCCAAAGACATGAATTGGATCCTAAATTGACCCTAGTATGTATGAATGTGAGTTAGGGACCTTAGATTGTACGCCCCTTGAGGGTTAGGGACTGATGTGAATGTACAATATATATGTAAAGTGCTGCGTACATCGATGCTATAGAGGTATCTGAAATGAATTAAAATGGAACAACAAAGATGGCCGCCGAGGACAGGAATGTGGGATGGGCCTGGACGATGCGTCACTGCTTGTTATCCGCATTGACTCACATCCCGGCTCCGCCCACATAGCTCTCCTCGGCGGCCATCTTTGTTGCGCAGATACAATAGACGGTCCGGGGATCTCAGTATGGAGGTAACCCGTTTAAATCTGATTCTGGAAACATAAACACCCGCTTTCAATAACGCCTCCGTACTAAAGGCCGGCTACTCCGTTCAGTCAGCCTCCTACCAAGCCCCCCTCACACTATTGGACTACCAAGCCCCCTCACACCCTAGTCAGTCTTCTACCGTCCTCGCCCGCCATTACTAGTACACAGGACGCGGCCTACACGACCCCCGAACACCTCACCCACCACCGCCGCCCGTTCTCTGCTCTACACCCCGAGGTACACCACACATAACAGTCACCTCAGACTCAACTCCCTCCCTGGTAAAACGGTGTCCGTATACCCAGCACTCTCAGCCTCAAATACCTCACAGGAGACAACAAAACAGCCGATAGAGATCACTACACAGGCGAGAAAAGGCGACAAAACCGGAGCCCGTCTCTTCTCCGCTCAACGCACGTTCTTTCTTCTCCGGAATCCGCGGCGACAAGGACGGGAGGGCGTTGCGGAGCTCATATTTATTACGGACTGTGGCCTTTACGTCACCAGATACGCCCATGAGGCGTGTTTGGGTGATGTAACCTCTACAGCCCGCCCCGATGACCAGGGGGGGATTACGTAACCATCACAGAGGCGCTCTGGTGCCATCTAGTGTACAAAAAGGTGAAACGACACCTCCCTTGCGGCTCTGAATCATTAGAATCCGGATCTTTCTGGAAACGGCGTGGAATCAGCGCCCCCTAGTGTATGGAGACCGATCGTTGCTAGAAATGACACCCTCCATCCCTTCGTGGTTATACTCGCTGATTTAGATCCGTGGATTTACTATGTAGTCAGGGGTGGACCAGGGGCGGACTGACCATTTGGAAACTCGGGCACTGCCCGAGGGCCCGGAGTCAGTAGGGGGCCCCATGAGATGCCCCTGGAACCTTTTTCATAGACTTTTTTGAGTTTGGGCAAGGACACAGGGACCTCATGATCCCCTATTGCCCAGGGGCCCCATGAGTTGTCAGTCCGCCCCTATATGTAGCCCTACCAGGGGCAGACTGACAACTTATGGGGCCCCCGGGCAATAGGGGATCATAGGGCCCCTGTGTCCTCGCCCACACTCAAACCACACCCAAAAAAGCCTATAAAAGGTACCAGGGGCATCTCATGGGGCCCCCTACTGACCCCGGGCCCTCGGGCAGTGCCCGAGTTCCCAAATTGTCAGTCCGCCCCTGAGCCCTACCAAGGGTGGACTGACCAATTTGAGCACTTGGGAACTGCCGGAGGGCCAGGGGTCAGTAGGGGGCAGGGGTGGACTGACAACTCAGGGGGCCCCCCGGCAATAGAGGATCATGGGGCCCCTGTGTCTTTGCCCAAACTCAAAAAAGCCTATGAAAAAGGTGCCAGGGGCATCTCATGGGGCCCCCTACTGACCCTGGGCCCTCAGGCAGTGCCCGAGTTTCCAAATAGTCAGTCCGCCCATGGTAGGGGGCCCCATGAAATGCTCCTGTTACCTTTTTGTAGGCTTTTTTGGGTGTGCTTTGAGTGTGGGCAAGGACACGGGCCCCATGATCCCTATTGCCCGGGGGCCCCATGAGTTGTCAGTCTGCCCCTGAGCCCTACCCTAGGGGTGTCACCTCATCTCTTTTAGTCCCCAGTCGCACTGGATGCGAATTGGCATGCGACTTGCAAATCACACGCCAAGTCGCACCCTATTGTCCGCAATGACAGCGGTGACATCGGTGCGGTTCCGACTTGGTCGGAGCCGCCCTGATTTGTAAAGTAGTCCATGCGCTACTTCAGGTGCGATTTTCATAGACATCCGTGTCAGATGTCTTGCAAATCGCACCTGAAATGGGCATGTCCCCCGTCTATGAAATCGCATGATTTCAAAGTCGGATTTGATGGGATGGGGGGGGCAGTTCACACTACTGTAATGTATCAAAAATGCACCAGAATGCGTCAAAAACACATAAAAAACACACCAGAATGCATCAAAAACGTGCATGTGGAAGTACATCCGGAACACATCTAGGGCCAGTTCACACTACATGTGTTTCAGTTACTTTTTTATGCATCAAAAACGCACAGAAAGTAGGTGAGATATCATAGGTCACATCAGAACTTGCAGTTCCAGTGCATTGCGGTTGCAAAAAAAAAAAAAGTAGAACATGCTGCATTTTTTCTGCACAGAACTCTACCGGAACGCGGTAAAAACGCACCAAAAACGCACTGGAGTGCACATGTCCCTATTTAAACTGAAGAAAAAGAGGGGAGAAAATGAACTGGAATGCATAAAAAATGCACCGGAAAGCGTAAAAAATGTGCATGTGGAAACACATCCGGAACGCATCTAAGAGCCCTAAGGGCTGGTTCACACTACATGAGTTTCAGTTGCTTCATTTCTGCATCCAAAACGCACAGAAAGTAGTTGATACAGTTGTCAATGTTGCAGTTCCAGTGCGTTCCGGTTGCAGAAAAAAAAAAGAACAGGTTGCATTTTTTTCTGCACAGAATTGCACAGGAACACGGTAAAACACATAAAAAACGCACATGTCCCTATTTAAATTGAAGAAAAAGAGGGGGGAAAAAATGAACCCGGAATGCATTAAAAACATAAAAAATGCACCGGAACGCATAAAAATGCATCAGAAACGCACCAGAATGCGTCACAAACGTGCAGGTGGAAACACATCCGGAATGCCTCTAAGGGCCCTAAGGGCCAGTTCACACTCCATGCGTTTCAGTTGCTTTTTTTCTGCATCCAAAATGCACAGAAAGCAGGTGAGATGGTTGTCAGTGTCATAGTTCACATCAGAGCTTGCAGTTCCAGCGTGTTCCGGTTGCAGAAAAAAAGTAGAACAGGCTGCATTTTTTCTGCACAGAACTGTACTGGAATGCGGTAAAACACATAAAAAACGCACTGGATTGCACTTGAACGCACCAAAAACGCATTGGAATGCACATGTCCCTATTAAAATTGAAGAAAAAGAGAGAGTGGGGGAAAAATTAACTGGAATGCATGAAAAACGCATTGGAACAAATAAAAAATGCATCAAAAATGCACCGGAACACATCAAAAAATGCATGTGGAAACACATACGGAAGCCTCTAAGGGCCATAAGGGCCGGTTACACTACATGCGTTTCAGTTGCTATTTTTTTGCATCCAAAACGCACAGAAAGTAGGTGAGATGGGAGTGTCATAGTTCACATCAGAGCTTGCAGTTACAGTGCGTTCCGGATGCAGAAAAAAAAGTAGGACAGGTTGCATTTTTTCTGTACTGGAACGTAGTAAAACGCATTAAAAATGCACTGGAAACACACAAAAAACGCACCAAAACCTCACACGTCCCTATTTGAATTGAAGAAAAAAAGGGGGAAAACGAACTGGAATATATAATAAATGCATCAGAACGCGTAAAAACGTATATAAAAAAAATGCAATGTAACGCGCCAACGCATAAAAACTGCACCAGAACGCATCAAAAATACGCATGCGGAAACACATCCGGAATGCATCTGGACTGCATTTCTATAGTGTGAACCAGCCCTAAGGGCCAGTTCACACTACATACGTTTCAGTTGCTTTTTTTTGCATCCAAAGCGCACAGAAAGTAGGTGAGATGGTTGTCAGTGTCATAGTTCACATCAGAGCTTGCAGTTCCAGTGCGTTCCGGATGCAGAAAAAAATAGGATAGGCTGTATTTTTTCTGTAGTGGAACGTGGTAAAATGCATCAAAAATGCACTGGAACGCACAAAAACGCACCGGAAGGCACATGTCCCTATTTACATTGAAGAAAAATAGAGGGGAAAAATGAACTGGAACAAATCAAAAACGCACCGGACGCGTAAAAAATGTATAAAAAGCATACTGTAACGCGTCAACGCATATTTAAAAAACTGCACCGGGACGCATCAAAAACACGCATGCATGCAGAAACACATCCGGAATGCATCTAAAGGCCCTAAGGGCCAGTTCACACTACATGCATTTCAGTTGCTTTTTTCCTGCATCTAAAATGCACAGAAAGTAGGTGACATGGTGGTCAATGTCATAGTTCACATCAGTGCTTGCAGTTCCAGTGCGTTCCGGTTGCAGAAAAAAAAAGTAGAACAGGCTGCATTTTTTCTGCACAGAACTGCACTGGAACGTGGTAAAACACACCAAAAACGCACTAGAACGCACATGTCCCTATTTAAATTGAAGAAAAAGAGAGGGGAAAAATGACCTGGAATGCATAAAAAATGCATAAAAAATGCATCGGAAAGCGTAAAAAATATGCATGTGAAAACGCATCTAAGAGCCCTAAGGGCCGGTCCACACTACATGCGTTTCAGTTGCTTTTTTTCTGCATTCAGGCTGCATTTTTTCTGCACAGAACTGCACAGGAACGTAGTAAAACGCATCAAAAACGCACTGGAACGCACATGTCCCTATTTAAATTGAAGAAAAAAAAGAGAGTGAAAAAATGAACCGGAATACATCAAAAACGCACCAGAACACGCCAAAAAAGCGTCAAAAAACATGCATGCAAAAATACATCCGGAACGCATCTGGACTGCGCTTCTATAGTGTGAACCGGCCCTAAGCCCGGGTTCACACTTCTGCGGTGCAGCATATCACATGTGATTCGCTCAGGAACCGCACCGCATTCCTGCGCAAATCACATGAGAATTGTGTGCCGTGCGATTGGAGCCATACGTTTTGTACGGCTCTAATCGCACCGCACCCGCATCAAAAACACGCAGGACCCTTTTTTTGGTCCGCACTAGAATCAGATCACATAAGTATTTACACCCATGCGATCCGATTCGGCACATCGCACCGCGTTTTGCGGACCAATTTCCGGGTGCTGTTCACTTAACATACACACCCGCATCGGTTCGCATGAACGGGGTGCAATTCTGATTCAGAAACTGCTGCAAATTCAGAACTGCATCAGTGTGAACCCGGGCTAATGCAGGCCATAGACGGGCCGTTTATCAGCCGAATTGTCGGACGATAAACGAAAAAATTGGTCGGCGCCATTGCCAATGCTGCCACCATCGTCCGCAAAAACTGCAGTTTTTTGTGGATTTTCCAGCATGACCGATAAAAGTAAACGAGACGATCCACGACAAATGGCCGACAGGCGGGCCCCGCTAACGGGGTGAATATCAGCTGATTTTTCGTGCGGACGAAAAATCGGCCAATAAACGACCCATCTATGACTTGCGTAAGTCTAGGTTCACACCTACGAAGGTTGCGTTTGAGGCGTTTCTGCATGCGTTTTGAGTTGTGTTCTTGCCATGTTTTGTGGGGTTTTTTCATTTTTTTTTCTTGTTGCTATTCAGATTTAAAATATAAAACACATCAAAATCGCATCAAAACCGCATCAAAAATGCAATACATGCTTTTCTGCAGAGTTCCCATTGAAGTCTATAGACCGAAAAACGCAACGTTTTGTGTTCAAAAAAGTCCCCCAGGGCCGGTTCACAGTATAGAAATGCAGTCCGGATGCTTGTGCATTTTGTACGAGTTTTTGGTGCGTTCCAGTGTGTTTTTGGTGCGTTCCAGTGTGTTTTTGGTGCGTTCCAGTGGATTCTTGAACTTATGGTTTTGCCATGTTTTGTGTTTTTTTTTTCATTTTTTTAAATTTTTCTTGTTCCTAGGCAGATTTAAAATACAAAACGCATCAAAAACGCGGCAAAAGAGCATCAAAAACGCAAAACGCAGTGGATTTTTGCACTTGTGGTTTTGCCACGTTTTGTGTTTTTTTTTTTTCTTTTCATTTTTTAAAATTTTTCTTGTTGGTAGGCAGATTTAAAATACAAAATGCATCAAAAACGCATCAAAACCGCATAAAAAATGCATCACATGCTTTTCTACAGAGTTCCCATTGAAGTCCATAGAACTAAAAATGCAACGTTTTGCATTCAAAAAAGTCCCTGAGGGCCGGTTCACACTATAGAAACGCAGTCCAGATGCATGAGCATTTTTAACGTGTTTTTGGTGCGTTCCAGTGTGTTTTTGGTGCGTTCCAGTGTGTTTTTGGTGCGTTCCAGTGGATTCTTGAACTTATGGTTTTGCCATGTTTTGTGTTTTTTTTTTCATTTTTTTAAATTTTTCTTGTTCCTAGGCAGATTTAAAATACAAAACGCATCAAAAACGCGGCAAAAGAGCATCAAAAACGCAAAACGCAGTGGATTTTTGCACTTGTGGTTTTGCCACGTTTTGTGTTTTTTTTTTCTTTTCATTTTTTAAAATTTTTCTTGTTGGTAGGCAGATTTAAAATACAAAATGCATCAAAAACGCATCAAAACCGCATAAAAAATGCATCACATGCTTTTCTACAGAGTTCCCATTGAAGTCCATAGAACTAAAAATGCAACGTTTTGCATTCAAAAAAGTCCCTGAGGGCCGGTTCACACTATAGAAACGCAGTCCAGATGCATGAGCATTTTTAACGTGTTTTTGGTGCGTTCCAGTGTGTTTTTGGTGCGTTCCACTGTGTTTTTGGTGAGTTCCAGTGGATTTTTGCACTTGCGGTTTTGCCACGTTTTGTGGTTTTTTTTTAAGTTTTTTTTTTAATTTTCTTGTTGCTAGGCAGAT